CCGAGTAAGAACTGCAAGTCCTTTTATCTTCCATTCGACTTCGCGGTTTCGTGTATTACTAAACAACTACTGAATTCGCAATTTTTTAGAATCAAATCACAGAATTGAACTGACAGAAGCTCGGACAGAAGTGACATCAGATATTTGATTACTTCAAAAGAATGATAAAGATGCCTATAAAACGCAGGTGTCCCTACTGTTAAAAACTTGAAATTTCACGTCGATAATTTTCAGATATCGAAATAATGTATTATCTTCTCAATATTGATTCGTCCTTCCTTCTGTCACAGAAAAAAATAGTGTATTATACACGGGAAAAATATTAGATTTTAGCTCACGGTTTTTTGTCTCCCTCCGCTACGCGTCGGGAGACAACACAACCTGGAGCTAAAATCTACTACTTTTTTCCCTTGTATAATAAATAACTATTTTCCTGATTGCCCTAAAAATCCCAAAAAATTCATAGACACTAATTCAGACTCAAAACGAAAGAATTTGATGTCAGATTTGATAGATAACTCTCCCTTTAGATTTTCAAAATCAGCGGTTCGAGCAATGCAGTAGGCTCATATAATTGGAAAAATTATTTTTTTCCTGATTGCCCTAAAAATCCCAAAACATTCATATACACTAATTCAGACCTAAAACGAAAGAATTTGATGTCGGATTTGATAGATAACTCTTCCTGTAGATTTTCAAAATCAGCGGTTCAAGCGATGCAGTAGGCTCATATAGGTGGAAAAATTATTTTTTTCCTGATTGCCCTATAAATCCCAAAAAGTTCATGGTTACTAATTCAGACCCAAAACGAAAGAATTTGATGTCAGATTTGATAGATAACTCTCCCTGTAGATTTTCAAAATCAGCGGTTCAAGCAATGCAGTTGGCTCATATGGGTCGAAAAATTATTTTTTTCCTGATTGCCCTAAAAATCTCAAAAAATTCATAGACACTAATTCAGACTCAAAACGAAAGAATTTGATGTCAGATTTGATAGATAACTCTCCCTTTAGATTTTCAAAATCAGCGGTTCGAGCAATGCAGTAGGCTCATATAATTGGAAAAATTATTTTTTTCCTGATTGCCCTAAAAATCCCAAAAAATTCATAGACACTAATTCAGACTCAAAACGAAAGAATTTGATGTCAGATTTGATAGATAACTCTCCCTTTAGATTTTCAAAATCAGCGGTTCGAGCAATGCAGTAGGCTCATATAATTGGAAAAATTATTTTTTTCCTGATTGCCCTAAAAATCCCAAAACATTCATAGACACTAATTCAGACCCAGAACGAATGAATTTGATGTCAGATTTGATAGATAACTCTCCCTGTAGATTTTCAAAATCAGCGGTTCAAGCAATGCATTAGGCTCATATAGGTGGAAAAATTATTTTTTTCCTGATTGCCCTGAAAATCCCAAAACATTCATATACACTAATTCAGACCTAAAACGAAAGAATTTGATGTCGGATTTGATAGATAACTCTTCCTGTAGATTTTCAAAATCAGCGGTTCAAGCGATGCAGTGGGCTCATATAGATGGAAAAATTATTTTTTTCCTGATTGCCCTATAAATCCCAAAAAGTTCATAGATACTAATTCAGACCCAAATCGAAAGAATTCGATGTCAGATTTGATAGATAACTCTCCCTGTAGATTTTCAAAATCAGCGGTTCGAGCAATGCAGTAGGCTCATATAATTGGAAAAATTATTTTTTCCCTGATTGCCCTAAAAATCCTGAAACATTCATAGACACTAATTCAGACCCAAAACGAAAGAATTCGATGTCAGATTTGATAGATAACTCTCCCTGTAGATTTCCAAAATCAGCGGTTCAAGCAATGCAGTAGGCTCATATAATTGGAAAAATTATTTTTTTCCTGATTGCCCTATAAATCGCAAAAAGTTCATAGATACTAATTCAGACCCAAATCGAAAGAATTCGATGTCAGATTTGCTAGATAACTCTCCCTGTAAATTTTCAAAATCAGCAGTTCGAGCAATGAAGTAGGCTCATATAGGTGGAAAAATTATTTTTTCCTGATTGCCCTAAAAATCCTGAAATATTCATAGACACTAATTCAGACCCAAAACGAAAGAATTTGATGTCAGATTTGATACATAACTCTCCCTGTAGATTGTCAAAATCAGCGGTTCAAGCAATGCAGTTGGCTCATATAGGTGGAAAAATTATTTTTTTCCTGATTGCCCTAAAAATCCCAAAAAATTCATAGACAGTAATTCAGACCCAAAACGAAAGAATTTGATGACAGATTTGATAGATAACTCTCCCTGTAGATTTTCAAAATCAGCGGTTCGAGCAATGCAGTAGGCTCATATAATTGGAAAAATTATTTTTTCCCTGATTGCCCTAAAAATCCTGAAACATTCATAGACACTAATTCAGACCCAAAACGAAAGAATTTGATGTCAGATTTGATAGATAACTCTCCCTGTAGATTTTCAAAATCAGCGGTTCGAGCAATGCAGTAGGCTCATATAATTGGAAAAATTATTTTTTTCCTGATTGCCCTAAAAATCCTGAAACATTCATAGACACAAATTCAGACCCAAAACGAAAGAATTTGATGTCAGATTTGATAGATAACTCTCCCTGTAGATTTTCAAAATCAGCGGTTTAAGCAATGCAGTAGGCTCATATAGGTGGAAAAATTATTATTTTCCTGATTGCCCTATGAATCCCAAAAAGTTCATAGATACTAATTGAGACCCAAAACTAAAGAATTTGATGTCAGATTTGATAGATAACTCTCCCTTTAGATTTTCAAAATCAGCGGTTCGAGCAATGCAGTAGGCTCATATAATTGGAAAAATTATTTGTTTCCTGATTGCCCTATAAATCCCAAGAAGTTCATAGATACTAATTTAGACCCGAAACGGAAGAATTTGATGTCAGATTTGATAGATAACTCCCCTTGTAGATTTTCAAAATCAGCGGTTCAAGCAATGCAGTTGGCTCATATAGGTCGAAAAATTATTTTTTTCCTGATTGCCCTAAAAATCCCGAAAAATTCATAGACACTAATTCAGACCCAAAACGGAAGAATTTGATGTCAGATTTGATAGATAACTCTCCCTTTAGATTTTCGAAATCAGTGGTTCAAGCAATGCAGTAGGCTCTTATAGGTTGAAAAATTATTTTTTTCCTGATTGCCCTAAAAATCCCAAAAAATTCATAGACACTAATTCAGACTCATAATGAAAGAATTTGATGTCAGATTTGATAGATAACTCTCCCTGTAGATTTTCAAAATCAGCGGTTAGAGCAATAGGTACAGTAGTTCATATAGGTGGAAAAATTATTTTTCTCCTGATTGCCCTATAAATCCCAAAAAATTCATAGGCACTAATTCAGACCCAAAACGAAAGAATTCGATGTCAGATTTGATAGATAACTCTCCCTTTCGATTTCCAAAATGAGCGGTTCAAGCATATTTCGAAAACCATCTGTCCTATCGGGCTGATCATGGTATCATTCGAATTAGAATCTAATGTATTCATTCAATCCATAATCTCTGTTTCACCACTTTTTTATATGAAACTTTGCATAGAAAATGAATCCGAGCAAGACAAGATCATCTTTGGCGTGCTCAAACCGCCCCTAAAACGTCACATCCTGGAGCACCCCTTTCCGACGTGTCCTGCTCTCGACCTCATCGCCGTGAGTGTCCTTCATGGCCCTCTCGACTCACAAAGAACGCAAAACAAAAGATAAAGGTGCTAATATAACTAACGCAGGCCGGAAGCCTCATTACAGCCATCTTTATGGGGTTGTCGCGGCTTTGATCGTTATTTGAGATGTCACGGAGATAGGAGAAGAGAAAAAGTCATTCAGTGACTTGAAGATGGGGGTTTCAACGTGGATTTAACTTCGAAAATTGTCCGAATATCTTCTACTGTGGGCTATGTCACCCACCCACATAAATAAACCCTGAAACATCCATTGGTATTAGTTATTTAACCAACTAGTGTATTAATGAGGGCGATTAATGATCGAGATATTTTAACGTGCGAGCGAAGCGAGCGCGTTAATGTTCGAATTGTTTATGAATGTATTCATATTTTAATCCGAAGGAGCTTGTCATAATTAAATTTTTCGAACTAATTATTCCTATAAGTCTATCAATCGGAACAATAGTTGATGAGGTATCAGTTTGTTGGCTAATTTTCCTTCAAAATAAGTGGAACTGATGGCATTTTTCCTTCGGAATTTCGAAAAAAACATTGATGATGGCTAAAAATAGGTCGAAACACATTCCAACCACCTTTTTCAATACATGGTTGAATTCATAATAAAAAAGCTTTCAGAATCTGTGAAAGAATTATCAGGATCGTATTTGAAAAACAAAAGTTGGTGATGGTTCTACGAATACGAAACGTCGCATAGAAAAATCGGTATCACCACGTCAAACGTCATCAAGAGTTGCTATGAAAAAGTATTTTCAGTTTTCCTGTATCTCTAATAATAACGGAGAAAAAAAAATAAAATAGAGATACTAAAAATTCACTTTTTTCGATATAACTGAAAAACTAAAAAAAATTTTGAAAATTTTCGAAGGCTGTTGGTATGAGCCTCCGAATGCGCAACTTTTTCCCCATTTATATTAACCGACTTCGTATCTCCTACCGTTTCCGAGATCCCCATGCTGTGCAACCTTATATATCTTGGACAGACTGTATAATACACCTGAAGAGAAGTTACAATAAGTGTTTTAAGAGAGTATGAAATTTTTTGATATTCATCAATAAATCAGAACCCATAGAGCACCTTTGGGAATTTGAGGTAATTTCTCGAGACTTTCTTGAGGAAATTGATCAACCCGATTGCAGGGCGGTTGAATGCTGTAATCCAAGCTCCAGGATATTTTTCCAGTTGGGTCAACTTTAATAAGACAGGGCTCGTAGATGGTGAAACATTTTTCACATATGATGATTATTGTTTTGAAATCAAACTGAGACATCAACGATAGATTATTCAAACACTTTAATGACTTTTTCTTCATGAACAGATTATGTCAGAATGGTTCGTTCACAGGTTTGATGGTCAATTCTTGCACCTGAAATCAAAACAGCAATAATTAACATCGTCAGCATGTTGCATTAAGAGTTCAACATGGGACATTTTTAGATCTTACAGCCATTTGAATTATGAATCAATTATCAATCAATCACTATGACGCCAAGAATGATTATCTAACATCAACAAATGTTGAATAAATGCAAAATGCTCAAAGTCATTTCCACACTAAGTTCATCAAATGAATAATTATGGTAGATTTCGGGAGAAAAACAACTACTTCCCTGGCTAATTCCACGCAGAACTTTGAATTACATGCTCCCGAAGTCTATGCATCGACTCGTATAAACGAATACTGATACAAGTGATTATTCCCAGAATGCCCATTGATCTCGATTTAGCCAGGCCACGCTAGACACCTACAGACCGGTTTCGAGCTCATATTAACATTACCCATCAATCTATCTCAACCGAGATTCATAACTATCAAGGTGTATATTACATTTTTATCACCAGTTCTGTGAGACTGAAATATGGACCTTTTGTCACTATGAAAGCACTCCTTTTCAATTCCAAAAAAACCTAGCCATGACAGCATAGTCGTCATTAATAAATACCTGCTGGATTCGAGTGTCATTCCTGCAAATCTTTCATATTTGGTTTACTACTCACCTGTACGTGGGGAGGAGTTGACAGCACATACAAAACTGCGTTAGCCACATCTTCAGGATTCAGTGAAACTTTGAATGCTTTCGAAACTTGTTCATCTGGCTGAATTCCGCTGGCATTTATGAATTCGGTTGCTACAGCTCCAGGACTTATGCTCTGAAAAATGTGAAGGAACATACTTCTACCTAGAGTCACTATACTATGATTCATTTATGCCTATAAGTCAAAGAGCGAGCTGGTAGTGATTGTGAGCTGCAAATATTGTATTTCATTATCAGTGACTACTACTAGTTACTTTCCATGACAATAGACCAAATAATTAGTTTTTCGTACAAAAATTGTTTGTTTTCACCATGACTCAAAAGTTGTTATATTTAGCGTGAAATGTGTAACCATCTAAAAGGTAGCGCTCGTAAAGGTCTACAAAACAAAAAAAAAAACTTCCAAAATCGGCTGAAAAATGCCCGAGATATGGCTGTTTTTAATATGTAGTTTGGCAGCCATCTTGGAATAGCCGCCATATTGGCCAGTCGCGTATCTGAGACCTCCACCATCGCATTTCGTGTTCTCCAATGAGTACTAGAAGAGATAAAACTACCCGCAATACTTAATCATCAAATTGCAAACGGGGGATGAATAAAGGAAACTGACTATAATAAAATCTCTTTGGTGGAAACCATCAGAGATCTCAGAGTCTCATGATATAATATCTTTAACAGATGAAACATTCATTTTGTACTGCCGGTAGGTATTGCAAATTCTATAATCATAGGAAATTGAGGATTTTGCACTTCTGGATTTATCGCTGTCAATATTCTGTGTCATGTTCATTGCTAGAGGTTGATGATCATTTTGATCTGACATAATTTCAACTCTCTTTAGTCTATTCATATTGATTCAAAGCACACAATCATCTAATCACCAGATTTCATGTACATATCTATTGAAAGTATGTGAGGTGAATTCATTTTCTAATGTTTATCACAGGGTTGTTACCGATTACAAAAACCACGAAATTTTTTCCATAGATATTCAAATCATTTATTTGTTCGTTCACTATTGGATTTCACCACTTTCTGTTTTTTTTTTCATCTGAGCGGAAAATAGTAGATTGTTTTATTAAGATCAAAAGTGACACTTTGTTTGACAAGCGAATCACCCAGTATACCGGATTATTCATGTTATTTGACACGCAATAGTTTTTTTCTTCAGGATGGATAGGGATCTATTAGCACTACATTTTAAAACAACATGAAAATATTTTGGAGATGCCATGGTGAGTGGTTGTTTGTTGTTGAATTGCCGTTTGTATTACCCAACTATTGTATTGAGGATATTATTATTCTGAAGGTTATGCAAGATCACTAAAACAGAGTAACCAGACGGAATGATAATGATTCATTGTTGAGCAATCATATGTTAACATTAAGTCTACTTTTGTTATCAGTTGGGTAATAGATATGTTTTGTTTTGAGGCTATTCAAATGTATGCAAATATATGGGGTATTCTTCAACATGCAAATAACCATTTCATCTAAATATATTTACCGGTAAAAAAAACCGGCCACTTAAAATGTTGTTGTTCGCCCTGTAACTTTTTTATTTCTTGTCCGCTTTTAGTGAAATTTCGACCAAATCGTATATTCATGTTTCATAATGTTGGCCTGAATACTAGCACCTAAGAGACGCTGCTGGCTGGATCATTGGACAGGGAATAGCAAAAGTTCTCTTTCACCTCAACACCCTGTGGCAAAGATGAGTGGTTAAACTAAGTTTCATCATGTTTTCGATTGATGAGTGAATCCTTCTCAACACAATGGTTTTTGATTCACGTAGATAACCACTTTTTGAGAGAAAATACAAGGGTTTTGAGAAAGTATATGGATTTTTTGTGTATTGAAAATCCTGTCTCGTGACTTGATATACAATGATTGTATGAAAAGAAGTTGTCAATGTAAACAAAAATTGAGGAAGTATTTGTATTTCTCCAACTAACCGTACTCATCAATAGTTGTAGGTAGGCTTCACTCAGTAAATACTCACCGTGATCTTGATTTTTGATTGCAAGCTATTGAGCTCTACTCTAAGGCTCTCAGTTAAAGCGGTTACAGCAAACTTAGAAGCTGGGTAAATATTGAAGAGTGGTATATCTGGAACCTTGTGACCAGCAATACTGTTAATGTGAACTATATGTCCATCTATTTCGTTCTTATTCATGTCTGCAATGAGCAAAATATAATTTATATAACATTATTTCAACTGAGAACAATTTTTATTAATAATGTTATAAAAGCATCCGAAGTTAATTTCAACAAGATCTTCATTGACAGCTTTGACCAGAAGTTACGTTTTCCAAGCGTTCCTGCATAAGCTATCGTTATACATATTTATTTTAATGAATCATGTCATTTTATATTAATCCATTTGCTATAGGGAAAAGAATAGAGCAGAGCTAGTAAAATGTATAGTTCGAAAATGAAAGTCTAGACGTCAATTTTGTGGAATATTTAAAGACAATTCTGATATCTACCTCCTCTCCCTATCTTCCCTACGCACGGTGTTCTTCAAACATCATAAAAATTTCCTCTTTATCATTGCAAGAAATTAAAAGAAAGAAGGAGAAGTTTTCATAAATTAGATCATTCGAGCCGGATTAACAGTAATTTCCCCAAAGGTAATCCTGAACATTGGGGTCCTTCGAGCCGGATTGATAGTTATTTCCACAAAGGTAATCCTCAACACTACCTAGGACGGATGAATCTGAACCAACAGACTGTATATCATGTACTTCTGGAATTTTCAATTCCTATCTACTCCGAATATATCCCTAGTCTAAAAAAAAATGTCCTTCTCCATGTCCTCAATAACCAACGTTCATTGACTGAACTATAGACTCGATATAACTAATTGACACCTTTGAACAAATCGGTCATAAAATGTGAATTTTATCTGATATATTATATGACAATCCCGGATTCATAGGAAAAAACAGAATACTCTGGCCACAAATTCTAGTCCTGTAATATGTTAGATTTATCCGATTTATCATAGAATATTTCCATCTATTTAATTTAAAGAGATATATATGTGGAGAAATATCGTTCGTATTTTGTTACATAGGGTGTCAAGTTAATATGCGGCGAAATTTCAAGGGATTGTTTCTTGAATTATTCTAAGAATATTTCGTTGTTAGATGATTCTTCAAAACCCTCTTTTTGTCGACGATACAATGAACAACATTTTCGGGACCACCATTTTAGATATTTTTAAAATTGTAAATTTTTTTTTTAATTCATTATTATCTCTTACAACATTCCAATTACTAAAGCTGCCATTTTTGCTGTTTGAAACATTTTTGCTGTATAATTTTGTTCGCGCTGTATCTACTAAACAAAAATTGTTTTCGAAATTCATCGTTGGACAAAATATTCTTGACCCCTTGTTTTATATCCTATATATTTGTGTCATTTCTATCACCTTGCTTCTTGGTTAATTTCACCTCATTGTTGTGTAAGTACTGACTATATATGTTTAACAATCTGACTATTTTGTAGCACTTCTTTATTGACCTTGAATTGCTTCCCTCGTTGCAATGCACAATCCAAGAACGTTAACCTCCAAAATCGTCCTCCACATTTCAGTATCTCCATTTGTGAGATTGGTGGGGAGTATGAGACCCGCATTATTCACTAGGATATGGACCGGGCCCAGGTTTTTTCTTATCCACTCGAAGGCTGCCAATATTTCTTTCTCGTTGCTGAGATCTGCTTGGAACGAGTATAATTTCCCTTTTTTATCAGACAGTTTCTGACAGATTTCATCCATCAAGTTCTTTCTCCTAGCAATGCCAACGACCTGAAGGTCAAAAAAGGGGAGTATACCTATAGGGGAATACTATATGACAATTTTAGAATGAATAATTATACAACATATATTTGCAAATTACAATGAATAGGTATATGTATATAAGGAATGAAAATGGCTATTCCAGCTGATTTCATATAGTTTTTTCAACAAGTGTGTTTTTTCGACAAAAGTGGGTACAATAAATTGGTACACTACACTGTTTTACCACGAACCAAACCGATTTTTCAACGCCTCGACACGTGTTTCGCTAACTATGTTAGCATCTTCAGGAGAAGAATAAAACAGTTAAAGCAGTTTTAATCTGTGTGAATATGGATTTCCTGTACGTCGTAGGAATGGTGGAGGAGCCGAGTTCCTCTTTTATTTATTTTATTCTGAAGTGAAATTTGAAAAATATTTTTTCACAAACTTCACAGTGAAATAAGAACCTCAACATAGAGAACTTCCCCATTGTATTATAATATATCAGCCCCTCAGGACAAAAAATATAATTGCCAAATATCAAGAAAGTCGGTGGAAGGACATTTGAGTTATTCATAAAAACTTTTTTTTTCAATAGTTTAACACACTGTATGTTGAAAACTATGCATTTCCGGACCCATGTACATAATATAAAATGAATTTTTTATTTCATAATGTTGAATCACCCTCTTGATTTTTTGCGCATAATTTCCGGACACCCTGTATACTTACATGTAGTCCTTCTTCAACAAGTTTTTCACATATCGAAGCACCAATTCCAGCACTAGCCCCTGTAACAACAGCTACTTTACCTACCCATCTAGCCATTGACACCATTTTCACACTCTGAAGAAATAACAAAGAATGATCAAATGCATCGACCTTTTTCTTCCAAGGTCTATGGTCAAACGGTATCGGTCATTATCCTTTCTCAATTGTATTTCCTCATTGCCCCGTTATATTTTTCTTATCGTCAATCTCACTGGCAGTTGCATCATTATGCGTCGATAATTCATCAAATATTCTAGTGAATGGGCAAGTCGACTTAAAATGAATTATTGACATTCAATTACTTCACTGTGTCGTTAGGAACCTAAATTAAATTTTCTACAAACGTCAGTAAAAGTATAATCTTTGACGCATGCTGTCAGTGTCTAAAATGTCAGTTTATGAACTGGAGTTAAAAGTGAATCACTTTTAGCACTAGTGCCAAAGGGCCAAGAATTTTGTCTACTCGTCCAAAAAATCAGCATTTTTCGGACTTGTTACGTAAATTACTATTGGTAAAACTACACTAACTAAAAAACTAAAATTTACACTAAGTTTGACATCAATTTTCTCTCGAACCGATCACTCGATTCAAATTTGTTTTTCACGAATTGTAGCTTCATACTTCACGAATACATCTGAGAAATAACCACATCCAAACGATTCGTCTTTATATCATATACAGGGGTGTAAAGAAAGTACGGATTTTTCGGTATTCTTTAAGACATCCTGTGGAGTGAACCACTGATAATTGAAACGATTTCTCAACACCAAATTGGAGCCCAATCTATTCCGGATATTTTAGTTTTCCATTCATCTTGATATCCCTATTATCCAAGAAAATATAGAGTTTCAAAGAAGAGGTGGATATTGGTATTAATTTTACCACCCCGAAATTCGAACTGGGGAGAACATGTCGTTTTTCAACTTGTTTCTGTGAGGATTTTTACTCCAAGATGAGAATTGTTCACAGTTTCACCTATCGGTTTACTGTTTAAAGACACATATACGAATACTCTCATGAATATGCAGGGGTGATAAAAGTTGCTCCAATGTTCTTTTGGTGAAATGCTATTTTTCTTAATCAACGTTGGCTATTTTGTTAATGTCATTAATTATTGTCAAAGTTAAGCGATTCACAATTCATGAATTTCATTAATGAAAATTCAACATGAGAGATTCGACTCCTACTGATGTGGCGAGGGCTGTAGCAGTGGGCCAATGTTCTTTTAACATATGAGAGCCGCATCTGCACCAATTCAATAGATGGCAGGGAAAGACTATATCGCCGAGGTGAACAAAATGAACAATTTGATTTTACTGCTTCTGTCTCCTATGGCAGAGGTTTAGTCATGGTTAGGTTAGGTTAGTCAAGAAACGACACATTTTCAGATCCAATTTGAGTTTTGAGGTGTAAAATTGATACCAATATCCACCTTTCCTTTGAAACTCTGTATTTTCTTGATTAATTGAGATATCAAGATGAATAAAAAACGAAAATATTCGGAATAGATTGGGCTCCAATTTGATGTTGAGAAATCGTTTCAATTATCAGTGGTTCAGTCCACTGCATGCCTAAAAAAATACCGAAAAATCCGTACTTTCTTTACACCCCTGTATATGATGGAAAGACTCATCGTTTGAAGGTAATTATTTCTCAGATGTATTCGCGAAGAATGAAGCTACATTTCGTGAAGAAAAAAATTTGAATCGAGCGATCGGTTCGAAAGAAAATTCATGTCAAACTTAGTGTAAATTTTGCTCGTTCCCATAATTGTGCCAGTGTGTGTATTATAGGAATCAAAATCAGTGTCGCCTAGTCAATATCACTGTTATATCATCTCTTCCATATCATGAAAATATTAAACGGATATCAAGTTTGTTCTTTATCATATATTGTGGGGAGACGAGAGACGAGGTCAGGCACTGAATATGGTTATTATGATCATGGTTTTCCTTTTCCTCACAAGATAAATCATGGTTTTCCTTGCAAGATAAAGATTTGGAAACTATACAGGACGGGCAATAATTGATGCAAGTTTTCACAAACAATCACATAAAAAAGTAAACTCTTTTGAACAGCTAAGTATACTTTTGTCTGATTGACCCGCCATATCGACTTCAGAGAAATAATAACTCCAAAGTGAATATTGATATTGACTGGAGTTCTGAATGTGTTTCCCATATTCTTCTGAAAACATCGAAGGATCAGTCGAAGTCTTCATCTTGGCTATGCAAATATACGCACTGGGAAAATATGGCACTTATTTTACAATTATTATATCGACATATAAACTTCTCACATATTCTTCCATTATAAAATAAATTCGATAGTACACAGGGTGAATCATAAACTTCTAGTTCGTATCTGCGCATGTTCTAAAATGCATCCATTCTAAGATACAGGGTGCAAAAGTACAAAAAAAATTTAAAAATGAATATTCTCAGATAAAATTATGAACATATCCTCTGCTCTGCTGCGCTTGTGCTTAAAGATTTTCACTATTGTCTCTGGAGGACCGTAGAACTTACCACTCTTGCATATTTATCTATAAACTCACAAACAACCTGACTGATTGCCCAGAGTTATTATCTCAACTAAATTTCAACATACCTCGTTTGAACAGTAGAACTTCACTTTGTTTTTATTTACCTACTCCAAGAACAAATATACAATTGAAATCTCCAATTCATTCGATGTGCAGAAAGTTCAATCAGATATGCGAAAAAACTGATATATTTTCAACTCCCATTGGAGTGTTCAAAAAGGAAATAAAACATATTTTTTCTACCTTGTGATGTTTACGAGGCAAATATGAAAAAATCCCTCTTTATTCATATGTTATTCATTAATACATGTTATTATGTTTCCTTCCGTTTTCTTTTTTTTATTATCATTATTATCTACAATTGAAATCACTTTCTACAACTACTGAATGATTTATGAAAATACTTTATTTGGCTCTTAGATTTAGATTTTAGTAATTGTTCACAGTTACATGTACACATTGTAAAAAGCTGTCCTGTAAGTGGGTCTTGTACCTGTTTGGGCAATAAATAGTTTTTTTTTTTTTTTAAATACTCATTACTATAAAATGGCGTTTATAACACTTGTAATATACTATACCATGTAAACCTCAACATTTCAATGTTGTTTATTGATTGCTCTCATTGTTAGAGATAAATTGATCAGGTAGGTATACAGGGTGATTCAAAAGTAAGCGGCATCCTTTCAGAGGCGTATTCCTTGCTTGAAAATAAGGCAAAAAGTTCCTATTGATAAGGATCCGAAAATGCTTCCTAAGGGAGCTACGGCCCTTTGAATAGGACACCTCAAAGACGGTTTTTTCTCTATAACTTTAAAATCCTTCACAACAAATTTTTAAAAATTGGTGTACGGCATAAACATTCGATGGTAAATAGGACTCCGTATTCGAAATTTCAGAATTTCATTCAGGGGCGTCACATGCGGGAGAGGGTAAGTGTAAAAATATCCCTTCTTCTCCGGATATTCAGGTTACTGTGATTTCGTTTGGAAATTATTTCGAATACGGAGTCCTATTTACCATCGAATGTTTATGCCGTACACCAATTTTTAAAAATTTGTTGTGAAGGATTTTAAAGTTATAGAGAAAAAACCGTCTTTGAGGTGTCCTATTCAAAGGGCCGTAGCTCCCTTAGGAAGCATTTTCGGATCCTTATCAATAGGAACTTTTTGCCTTATTTTCATGCAAGGAATACGCCTCTGAAAGGATGCCGCTTACTTTTGAATCACCCTGTATATTTACTGATTATATCATAAAAAAGTACTTAATTTAATCAAGTCACAATGGTAAAAATCGAATATAAATCACGAATAAGTAATTTAAAAATTGTCATCTGTTGCACTAGCTTTATAAAACCTTCTGGAGTAAGCTGCCGGAGAATTATCGCAAAATCCAAAAACAGAAAACCATCGACGTTGGTAAGCTAACAACAAGAACAAAATTACTGGAATGGTAATCAGAACACCTGAAATCAGAAAAAACAAAAAATTGGTAAAGAATACATCAGTGGTATTACCGATTCCTCGTGAATACTTTTGTATCGTAATATATATATACAATATTTTCTTCAAACAAGAAAGAAAACTACAGAAGCTCTAATCAAACAATATTAACGCTATCAATATAGCGTTAATATATTTTCTTTGCTCTAAACTTTGAATTAATTGAATAAAATTGTACGTAGATATGATGAGAATACCCCAAACGGCCTTCATAAGAATTTCTGAAATTTTGGTTGCCCACGTAGTTGCTCTTGGTCTATTGATCTGAAATATTTTCAGCTCTGCGGCGTTGCCGCTTCTATCGAAAAGTAGCAACAACTTTGTTATTTTAAATGGAACACCCTATATTTTATTGCATTTTCAGATTCTCTCTGAAGGGCTGATATCATCGATGTATCACACTTGGGGTCTAGCGGAAATGTTTACAGAGATATAGGTTGTGTAAAATCGACATATTTCAACTTTAGGAATTTTTTTGTCGAAACTATTCATTATTGGTCAAAACGGCTCACATGTCCCTATCTCAACTTTTGATCAACTATCTACTGACATTTAATTGAAACAAATACAGGTTCGTGCAGAATTCAGAATCTTGATCACCCGGTATATGTCCCAATCAAATATCAGTCGATAGTTAATTAAAAGTTGAGATAGGGACATGTAAGCCTTTTTGACCAATAATGAATAGTTTCGACAAAAAAAATTCCTAAGGTTGAAAAATGACGATTTTTCACACCCTATATCTCTGTAATCGTTTCCGCTAGACCCCAAGTGTGATACATCGATGAAATCAGCTCTTCAGAGAAAATCTGAAAATGCAATAAAGTACAGGGTATTCCATTTAAAATAACAAAGTTGTTGCTACTTTTCGATAGAAGCGGCAACGCCGCAGAGCTGAGAATGTTTTAGATCGATAGACCAAGAGCAACTACGTGAGTAACCAAACTTTCAGAATGATCCTATGTCCCGTTCTCCATAAACGTCTAACGTAACATCGACCGTGAGTTACCCTGTATGAACCAGTATGTTTACACTGTTCATAAAATAATCTTCCTGAATATCACTCGAACATGACAAATGGAGACTATTATTTTCTTCAATTCATCTCGAGTAACTTGTATTTTGGGACAATGCAATTCGACCATATGAACATAAATAATCATAGATTATTATTGTTCATATGGTCTCATCAAATTGTCAAAATACAAGGTACTCTCGATGAAGATAATAATAGTCGGCTATTTGTCATGATCTCGGAATATTACCCACGATTCTGCCTTTTTAACGTCTGAAACATTGCTAGATTAGAATCAGTCCCCCTGATAGGATCCTCGTACAAGTAAATGTGAAGCAGCAAGTATCTGAAATACTAGCCATTAGTTATGAATATGCTCTAAGTATTCTCTATACTGATAAATTACAAAAACTCCACTGAGATTTATTTTTACTTGTAGTAGAATAAAAGTAGCCCATCAAAATCTCCAAAACCAATACTTTGGTATGGCATGTGATAGCTTTCCGGGAATTTAAAGATGGATTTGTTGAATCCCTCAAAATTCTATTGTTTGATGCTATCCTTCAAGTGAAATAGGTGATTTTTTTGTTTTTTCAAATAATTAGGTAGGTATTTAATACTTTTCCTTGTCGTAGAATTACCTCTTTTGCAATATCTAGCATTAACAGTTGAACAACATATCCTTGAAATAGTGAAATCAAACAACTAAATGTACTAGATGTACCCTTGTCTTACCATCTTGTAGAGAGCATTGAAATCAACATAAGAGAAAAAGTTTTGAAATTACAACAAGTTTGATTGGATCGCCTTATTGCTGTCACGAGAGCGAGGGTGCAAAACTCATTGCATCTCACTTTAATGTATGTTGTTTACAATAATTCATCTCACTCGCACGATCTAGTAGGTATGTATATTCAGATCTTTTCACTTTAGTCAATGCGCAAAAATTATCTTGATATCACACCTCACACCAAAGAAACTATTATTCGTCGCTTGCATACCAACCTGCCAATACGCCAACAAGTATGGCTGCATCCTTTTCAGGTGTAGCCCCATACATGTCCAAACATCTCATATGACTCTTTTTCTCATAAAGGTCATAGAAAGTGTACTGTTTCATTTCAATTGGAGCAGCACACCTAAAATATAACAAGAAAAAAGTATGAATATCACCTCTTCAAGACTTGGAATGCATAAAAAACTATAAAAACTAGGAACTAGATAATACAAAGACAATATAACAAAATTCGATAATGCGAATAGATAAACAAAGATTGACAGCTGACTAGATAGCTGATCAGGTTGTACCTGCCATTGTCTACATGACCTAACCCTCTGTTTGATTGTCTTTTCGTCTATTATATCAATATACCCTCATCAACTAGTTGTCCTGAAGTGCTAAGCTTCTGTGGAAGCCTTCAATTTTCAATGAGAAAGCAAAAAAATCAAACCACACTTGTTCAATAAACTAAACAACCATGGTAGGTATATGAAGGGAGAAAAACATCTACTTTATTGGCAACATTCGTATATAAACGAATACTGATTGCAAGTGTTTCGTTGCTAAATAGCAAATTGCCTTCAGATTGTGGTCAGGGTAATGCTTGACACCTACAGACCGATTTCGAGCCTTTGTCCCTCATCAGTGTAGGGTATTTACCAGATAGCACAGGGACCGTAATCTAAGTGAAAATTGACCCATCGAAAATCCAATCGGCATTTATCCGTTCAGAGACTCTGGCCCATTGCAACTAGAGTGAGTAGATTTAATAGAGTGGCGACAATAGACCTCAACATGGCTGCCGTTTTTGGAAAGTCATTCGTGCATGGTCAAGTCACTGTATAGCTGAAAATCGGAAGGGTTTCTCACATGCAGTAATGAATCTGCGCCTTCGTAGTGCCCACCCATAATGTGAGACTAACGAGTCATAAAAGACGGATTCTAATAATTGATATTCAAGGTGCCAACTATAGAGTTTCATGTATGATGATGTTTTGTGTCCAAAGAGCGAGAAACAGTGACAAAGCGTTGACAAAGTAAAATAGAATGCATAGAACTGAATGAAGAAAACAAGACAGGTGGATTCACCTCCATATTAGAGGTTTGACCAATCAAAAAGTATATCACTATCGTCGCCACTCTGTTTTATAAAGTCACTGTAATTGTAACATGAAAACAGCGACATCTAGACCAGAAGGAAATAAATTCCCATCTTGATGAGAAATGAGAAGGGATGAAAATGAGGTCTGCTAGACTGAGATCTAAGCAAACATGAAACCTCGCACCTCCCAAGTTCTGCTTAGCACTCTTGAGCAGGAATTGAGGGCATGAAGAACGTATCGAAAGACCATCTCCATAGAATTTAATCTCTACTCATGTTTCGAAAATCATGAGAGCAAAGGCTGGTAGACTTCTTGTAGTAGTTTCAAGGGTACAAATAATATTATCTTTGGCTTCCTGGAAGAATTAGATATGCGTGGCTAAACAGAGAGGAAGTGGCTGCAACAGTATTAGGTGACTTTTCCAAAGCCTTCGATTGACTGTTGCAAAATTATCCACTTATGGTTTCAAAGGAACAACCCTCCAGAGGTTCATCTTATCTTTCGGACAATGAGACGAATGGTGAATTTTCCAAAAGAAAATTACCTGTAGAGTTCCAAAAGGATCATTGTCTGGCCCCATTCTGTTCCTTCTCTATGTGAATGACCTATCTGATATCTGATGATAGAAAGTTGAATTTTGGTGTGATTCCAATTCTTTATGTTTCAATGTGAATAAGACTAACGTCATCTCATTTAAATTTTCTGCTAGAAACCTGAGTCTTCATAAATATGTGATATGTCGAAAATAAAAAGTGCATCAAATTTTTGGGATTATATATGGATTGATTATACTCTGAAGTTTGATGAACACGTACCTACAATATCTTGCACCAGGCTGTAATGCTATCAGAATCATTAACAATAAGTTGGGAATAGTAGCAGGAACAACATTATATTTTTTATCTTGCATTTGAGCAGTTGATACAATCTGTGATTTCCTTCTACAGAAAAGGGTGGGGAAATATATATCTATAGCTAAGCGTTTGGATCACTGCAGACCACTCTGTTCATTAAGAATAAAATATTAACAATTTATTGCATCATCAATTCAGAAATAGTATGTCTCATCAAAAAAGAAGAGATGATTTTCCTCTGCCAAAACCAACTTCAACGATGACCAAAAATTCAATTATATTCGAGTCTGATGATTTTTTATCATTAACCAGCTAAAATGAAAAGTATGACTGACTTGAAAACGTGAAAACGAAAACGTGTGGAAGAACGTCTGCTTTCAAAAGCATATTACAGCTTTTTCTGTTCTGTAGAATCTTACGTCTTACGTCTTGTCTTAAACTTTTATACTTTGTTTGTCCAATGTATTACTTTATTTACATATTTTGAATTCAAGTCATATTCATGCTTGGCCAATAAAAAAGAATTGTTTTTCTTCAACAATAAATTATATTTTGAACTGAATATGAACCTATCAAGACCCACCTTATTTCCTTGGTCATATTTTCGTTGATTTTCAAAGAGCGAGGCACCAAATCGTCTATCAACCACTGATTTTCACACTCACAAGTCCACGGGTTATCTCTGATATCCAGTTCTGAAAGACTATCCCATCTGGCGATTATATCACTATCCAGGTAAGCTAATTTGTTGTTACCAATATAAAGCTGAAATACATCGATGCCACTGAATGAATTAGAATATAGTACAGCGTCTACCAACGAAAACTTGACCATCCTTGAACTAGAGAACTTAATCCTCTATCAGAAATCGCCGGGACCCGCTGATTTGCGCACTCTTCAGAAGCTCTTCGTTTAATACACAATTACATATCAATAATCTATAAGTATCGTCGCAATTCGGATGTTCAGATTCAGCTACTCGCTTGGCTTTTTGACGAGAGTTTTTGATCATTTCACCACCCAACCACATTCATGCCCAAATAAAGAATGACTTGCTGAATGAAACACAACGCAGAACAACACTTGAAAAAAACAGTACTTACATTTCAACGTCTAGGATGGGGTTGACCAGTAGGATTGAAGTCGGGGAGATGATGATGCTTTATCAGCTCTGGTACTACATATTTATATTCGGAATCGATGCTAGGTATTATCGCACGGTAAGCGGTTTTTGCAAGTTCTACAGGGAATGACGTCTATGAACTCCACTGACCTGATCGAAACTACACTGTACTGGATGTTTCAATTTGGAAAAGTTAATTAATAATTAGAGACCTTGAAATGAACGCGTGTTTGAGTGATGTTATTCCTATAGGCATTTGTACTTCTTGACAGTCACATGACATTTCTGCAAACAAATAAATAGAAAATAAAAATTTTTTTAACATGATGTTGTACCTCCTTATCTAGCTGTTGCTGTGCGCCCATTTTTAGATGATCATTTCCCAGATCATTTGGATTGGTACACGAGGTCCCATCGAATGGCCACCAAGATCACCTGATTTTACCGTTTTGGCACGCAACGTGAAACACTAGACGTGATACATAAGAGAAATATGGAGGAATGCCGATCAATAACAGCAGATGTCTTCAGTAATATTCGCAAAGGATTTGAAAAAAGTGTGTATCATTGTTGGCAAGTTAATGAAAGTCATTTTGAACTATATAAACACCACAAAAAAACTATATAAACACCACAAAAAAAAGGGATGCGAATATGTAGTACATGAACTGCTTTCAATTGATGGGCAATTTTGGTTAGAAATTGTATCGAGAATGTCAAGTAATGATTTTGTTCAATAGTAGTAGTAGTAGTACTGTGGGGAGGCTGTAGCCAGGCAAGTAGGCCCCCATGGGCCCTTTTTGCCAACCCCTGCTCTCCACATATCTACACATCCCTCTTTTAGTTGTCCTTTTCGAACCTTCCCGTCCTTCTGATGAAGGTCAGGATGTCCGTCCACTCTAATTCGACCAAATCTTCCTGTTGTAGTTTATCTACTCCAACGATTTCGAATCTCATCCTTCCATACGCCTCACACTCTCCGAGGAAGTGAAGTGATGTCTCCTCATCTTCTCCGCATTCACGGCAAGTGGGACTATCTTCCACACCTATGAGTGATAGGTGTCTGCGTAACCTGTTGTGCCCTGTCAGTATCCCTATAAGAAGGCGCAGGACTGCCCAGTAACCAAGCCGTCTTTGGCTTGCTTGGACCGGCCACCAGGTCTCTCGATTGCCTGCAGCCGCCTATACGTCTCCAATATACTTCTAGTGCCTCGTCCGCCCATTTGTTAAGGGCAGAAGAAGTTTGGCTTCTTGTTATGCCCAGTGCAGGCTCTGGTCCCCAGAACGGTGTCGCGGATCCGATTCTAGCCAACTTTGTTCAATAACTCTGTCACATCTCAACTGATTTCCAAAAACAATGCACTAAAGAATTCGCAATGAAAAGGGCCTTAGAATGATGTGTCGAAAGTAGGGCACTTCCATTTGGGGTTAGGGGTATGAAAACGGTCAAAAATGCTATTTCCTAAGTAAAAAAGTCGTTTGACGGGTCCCGCTGATTTCTGTAAGCCGATTTGGTGTTCTATAGTTATTATAGGAGGAGGGGGAATCAAGATTTCGTTGGTAGAACCGTTTGTCGAGTAGCCTTCAAATATCATTCAGCTACTCCACTTCGAATGTCTTTTGGCATTGGTGAACGTATGAAATCCTCACTTTTTTAATTGGAGGCCAAACTGAACTGCCACCACTTTTCATTGGCAAAGCTAAAGCCATTGGGTCGATATAAGTGAGATCAATATTGTCACACAAGTACAGCTCTTCCAAATTCACCAAATTACACAAGGAATGTTTCTCGATGTGACTAAGATGTTGATTGCGGCATAAGTGGAGCACCTTCAGGTTCTTCAATTTGGGAAATCCACTGGAAAATAAATGTTCGTAAAAGTGACCAGACCAGCCATAGGAATTCACCACGAATCTTCAATATAGGTTTTAACATAACAGAAATATGATATTAGCACGAATATTCGTTATGTAGGTTTCCAAATACCAAATGAAGGTATATTTACCGAGTATTGATTAGGGCTTTGCGAGACCAAGGCCAAGACTGATCATATAAAGGTATACCCAAACAATCATTTGAGTGTCTACCTTATATCTGACATGTCCCTAACCAATGCACTCGAAAATATTCCCTGTCATTTTCAATGTATCAACATCGAACAAGTGAGTGATAAGGATATCATAGAAGCTACAAAGAAAATGAAGAATAAACTCATTATTGGTCCCGATCAAATACCAAGTTTTTTAGTTAAAGACTGTGTTCAACCGCTACTAATTCCATTACGCCATATCTATAATTTGATATTGAGAACTTCTACCTTTCCCGATGTGTGGAAAATAGCCCGTGTCTGTCCAATTTTTAAAAAAGGCGATAGAACATTGTTAAAAAATTATAGATCAATCTCCGTGCTGAGTAATTTTTCTAAGGTATTTGAAACACTTATGTATGTCTTCCTTTATGACTCGATCAAAAATGTTATATCAGATGATCAACACGGATTTGTAGAAAAAAAGTCTTGTATTACCAACTTGGCGTGCTTATCACAATGTGTTACCGAGGCTCTCGATAGAAAATTACAAGTCGATGTTATTTACACAGACTTTCAAAAGGCCTTTGACCAAATTGACTTTTACATTCTTCTACATCGGCTAAAGTCATTTGGTTTTTCTGAGAATTTAATAAACTTATTTAAAACTTATTTATTTGGTAGAAAGCAATTTGTGGAGTACGAAGGTTTTCAGTCCCCTTTGTATAACCCCAGTTCCGGTGTTCCTCAGGGATCAAATCTAGGACCTCTGTTATTCCTATTATTTATTGATGATTTAACAAAAAAAATTACCTGTTCGAAACTTTTATACGCTGATGACCTGAAGTTATTCAGAGTTGTCAAAGATAATAGAGACTGCAGTAATTTACAAAAAGATGTAGATTTAGTATTCGATTGGTGTCTTCATAATCATCTACAATTGAATATTTCAAAATGTTTCATTATGTCATTCTCAAGAAGGAAAGAGATGATAGAGTTTCCTTACCAAATAGATAATAGTATCATCAATAGGGTCAGGGAGATAAAAGACCTTGGGATTAAGTTTGATTGTGAATTCACATTTTCTCTGCAAATTGAGGAAATTATATCTTCAGCAAATAGGATGATGGGCTTTATTATGAGAAGTACTAGGGAGTTTCGCAATGTAGGGACAACTCTCACAGTTTACTATGCGTATGTGAGGTCCAAACTCGAATATGGGGCATTGATATGGTATCCTTTATACGACTCTGAAATTAATTCTTTGGAAGCTGTTCAAAGAAAATTCTTGAAATACCTGCTTTTCAAACAAACAGGAACGTATCCCCAAAGAGGGATCGATCATTCAATCCTTCTGAATCGATTCGATGTAATTTCTTTGCACACTCGTCGTATCTTTGGTACAATATCATTTCTCTACAATTTACTGCACAATAGTATTTCCTGTGCCTCACTTTTACAAAAAATCAACTTTCATATTCCTCGCCTTAATTCTAGAAGTGAGACGACCTTTTATTGTGAAAATATTCGAACAAACGTAATGCGCAGGGCACCAGTGTCGTTAATGTGTTCTAATTATAATTTGATCTGTGATGTATGTGATATCAATGTGAGCACTCTCAAATATATTTTGGAATGTATCATCAATAGATTGTAAACTTCTCCTTTTTTTTTCTCTCACTTTAGTTTTTTCACTGTATTGTCCAATATATAATCAATTATTTACTTACATGCACGCATATACATTTATTTATATTTGTCGTTTTGTAATTCATTATGTTGAATATTACCTTCTATATAGCATTTCCTGTAATTGGGTGTATACCTGTTGGAAATAAAGAGCTATCTATCTATCTATCTATCTATTTGTACATATATATACATAGCTTGTTGGTTACAAGTGTGTCAAAGTTTTGAAAAAAAAGTTTTCTCCTACTTTTGGGGTATATTAATAATTTCAATAAAACTTGCATGTCGATTTGTTTCATGAGTTATACTTCTGTTTCACATGATAATGTATAAGTATCTATGGTTTAGAGAAGTTCTAGGAAAAATGGACGTTGACAGGACGTCCCTGCAACGTCATGAAACTAACGCCTTCCTTCACCCATCTAAGTGACGTTCTCTCGACGTCGAAACGATGACGTGATTATCACGTCATAGACAGTACGTCATAGTGACGTCATAAATTGGTGTGTGACGTCTCTGACGAAAAATCACCGATTGGGGACGTCACAGTGACGTGATCATTCGTCATCTGGTTGCCTGGGAATGTAGTATTGGTCTTGGTATTGGTCTTGATGTTTCAAGACCAAGACGAGACTGGCTCAGTCTTGGTCTTGATAATCTTGGTCTTGGATCAAAATGCGTCTAGAAATTTGAATTATTCAATTCAAATATTCAACAAAGTATATTATGCATATAATAGGTATTTCGTATTTCTCAGTCTTTGAAATTGTCAATTTGTGCGTATAAAGTAAGCGAAATGAATTTCTCCTTTCACCATTAGGATATAATTTTTAAGATACCTTAAATAAACATTAGAGACCAAAACCAAGACTCTTGAGAGAGAGACTCGATCTTAGTCTTGTATCAAGACGAATGAAAAAACGATAATTGTGATGAAGCTGCCACTCTGACGTTCAGTTTATTTTCAATCCAACAGCATTTGACTCGAACAAAAAATTAAATACTGAATGAGTGAATTTTGTGATTGATTTTACTTAAGAAAACTGACATAATGTATTGGTAGAAACGATACTTTCAGCCTGTATGATAAAATATTCTCACCTTTCCTGGGTCAAGTTGATGAAACCAGTATTATTCAAAAATAGTTTTTCCAAATTACCAGCCTGCGCTATTGTATCTGGAATTTTGTTGATCCTTGTATTTCCGGATAAATCAAGAACCTTCAAATATTTTGGTGTATGTAACAAATTATCTGGCAATGTCTTCAATTCCGTATACTGCAGATACAACTCCTAAAAAAATAGATATATTGTAATAGTATTCACCTTAAAGGGGCTATAGAACATTATCAGGAAGGCAGGGGTAAAACGATCACCCTGTATCACGCGTCTCGGATCACTCTCGAACATCCCAATAATTCTAACATGTACCATCGTATTCCCGAACACCCAATATGTGTCACGGCGACGCATGACCTGACAGATCTCGAAACAATCGATGGAACAATTAGAATGGGAAAGATATCGTTCTAGAAGCTTCTAAAACAAAAGAAGGGTACGGAAGATCATCCGAGAACGTTCGAGAAGCAAAGCCTGCCAAGGGATCTGATATATAAGGACGGTCGGTCAGCTGCCGTCAGTCAGTCAAGCAGAGAGTGTCAGAGAGACAGTCATATACCGCGTGATATAAATCGTTTTACATAAATAGTAGTTATAAGTTCGAAATAAATTAGTGTTCCTTAATTAGAAATAAATCAGTTCGAAAGTAAATAGTGTCGTGTTTGCTTCTGTACCCGAATAACATAACAATATTATAAGGGGTTGATATACGAAGGCGTTGAAGGACCATGCACCGCAATTATTTTTCATAATTCCGATTTAATATCTCGAAATTATTTAATTCCGACTTATTATGTCGGGATTCCGACTAAGTATCTCGGAATTAGTAGATTCCGACTTAGAATTTCGGAAATCTGACTTATTATTTCGGAATATTGAGTCAAAATTCAATAATTCCGAGATAATAAGTCGGAATTCCAAGATACTAAGTCGAAATTCCGAGATACTAAATAGGAATTATGAAAAAAAAAATGCGGTGGCCCTTCATCGCCTTCATAGGTTCAGGAATATTGTTACGATATCGTATAGGTTTCTTTTTTCTTCACAAGACTTTATTGAGAAACTTGGAACGATTCATTTAAACACAAACATTACAATACAAGATACAGGAAAACATAATTTTCTCCAAATGCTATTAAAAGTGGGTTTTCTATGACACTCAACAGGCATAGAAGGTGTATTTTTACTGCCTAGGCAGAAAAAGTTTATTGCTATGGGTGTACACAAAATGATGGAGTTCTAAAATGAATATTTGAATAGCAAATTCGTATTTGTCTTGATGACACTTATATAATATCCATTTTTTTTTACGTTGAAAACGGAAGCAGATTTGTTCTCGAAACGTCCAAAGCCAAGTGAAAATTTGATATTTTTTCTATATACCTTTATTTCTCTTCTCCAAACTTTTCAATACAAATTGTCACTGACGAACTAGTGAATTTTTCTTTTGGGCCCTCTGATAGTAAAATTCTTTAAACGCAGTGACATTTTGGGGCAAATCATCTGATTTAAATAATATTAATATTTTTATTTTATAGAAACGAGGAGATTGAATCCAAAAAAATCTGTAATAATGAAGAATTCAAACTCGAAAAATACCTTCAAGAAAGCCAAGCTATCTATAGCTAGCAATGTATGATCATCTATGATTTCGATTGGGTTGTGACTCAAATCCAGGATTTCAATATCGGTGGTATGTTCGAACATATCCTGATTCAATGTGTGGAGTTTGTTATGGTCCAATCTAAGTTCTTTCAAACTTCTCAAAGGCTCATATCTCGTTTCCATATATACGCCCTGAAAATTAAAAAATAACTATACACCGTGTCCCAGCTAAAATGTCCCTCCTTGTAAAAAATCAACTGCGCGATCGAATGACTTTGAATTTGGTCACCCAGTATATTTGATGATGCTCCCTGGAAATATGCTATGGAATAAATCGTAGGAATACAGGGTCAAACCGAAGTGCACCTAAACTTTCCTATTTGAATAGGAACACCCAGTATATAATTCCACATTCAAGTAGAGTTCATAATTACGAATCCAACAATGCCGGGTTTGATGAGATTTTTTCAAACGACTACGAAGATACGGCAAAAATAAAACGATTCAATAAAAAATTTACATGATAAGATTTTATTAATATAACACGATTGAAATCGCATTAACTTGAAATTTGACAAGTGTTCATAATTTCGGTGACAAAACATTATGGAATTTTTGTTGAAATTAAAAAAAATGGCTGCTCCAAGATGGCGGACAAGATTTGGTCCGATTCCATTCAAAATTGGTAAGTGGGGGTTTTTGAGGTCGGAGATCATGATTTTTCTGTTAAAACTTATAAATTCAAGATGGCGACTTCCAAATAATTTTTTGTTTTTGTATAAATGACGATAACTCCGTTGTTATCAACACAAAACTATTACTGCGATATATCATCTGTAAGAGAAAAAAAAGTTATTTGTAACTAAGTCATAGTGAGCTATGACCTACATTTGAAAAACTAAAGTTGGTGCTGATATCTCAAATATTAAAAGAGTTGGTATAAATTCCATATTTTTTTCGAAATCATTTTGAAAAACTGCCATGAGAATGTGAAATTCCTATTTGAATATTTTCATAAATAAAGAAGTTACGGATGAGACATGGAAATGATCGAAATCTGTTTTTCGCGTATAAAACAAAAACGAATAAATTTTATCAAAATATTTTTTCACATTATAGTTGTCCTTGACAAACTCCACATTTTGGTGTCATTTAATCGACTTCGTATCTCTCACTGCTAAAAAGATACCCATGGTGAGCATGGTAAGTGGGACACACTGTATATATCGAAATGTGACGATTTGGATAAATACACCGCCAGAGACAGAGATATTGGAAGAAGATGCAAAAGTTGGATTTGTTTCCGGAAATTTCAAGAAAAAAGAATGAATTGGCATATTCGAAAAATTTATGGAATCTGAACAAAATACAGAAATAAAATCCTTTTCGGAAAGTGTACTTTTTTGAAATACTTTGAGGAACTAGGAAAGGAGTCTACTCCTTGGTCACAATATTCTCAAAATAAATACCAATAAGTTACATTACTTGGATTCTGTGAATAAGTGCAGTTGTAGAAAAAGTAGAGTGTGCAACATGTGGGGAAAAGCACTTTACTCACTCGTGTGTTTACATCACTCGCCCTTCAGGCTCGTGCAACAAACTCTCACACTCGTGAGAAAAGTTGAACTTTTCCCACTTGTTGCAAAATATACCATTTCCAGTAGCAAAATTCCCATTCAACGCCAAACTCACTTTGAAAGCATCAGGATGTATGATTTCCAAATCATTATAGCTCAGAATCAGCACGACCATGTTCTGTAAATTCCTGAAAACACTGTCGGATATCCTGAAAATATCATTGTGTGCCAAATTGAAGTAGATGAGATTCGACCGCGGGAAAACATAAGACAAGTTATTGAAATGGTTGTTCTGGAAAGAGACAGCAGTATACTCGTAGGGCTTGTTGGAGTCGTTCTCTATCCAGGAAGAGTTCTCAAAGGCGTAATTCGGGATTGGTTTGGTACAAGACACGTTGGTGTATGTTCCTTCGTGGTTCCATGAGCAGATACAAAGTTTGCAAAAAGGCGAGTTGCTATTGTTTGTCACGGCCAAGGCGGATCCGAATGCAATGGACAATACCACCAATGACAGCATTCTGAAATCAAAAATTCGATTAATTCACTTTTCTCGCTATGTGCATTTTATTTCAAAATAGATTCATAGATTCATCTTGGGGAATAGTTATTTAACCGGGACCAAGACCAAGACGTGCGTTTTTTCAACGTATTATCAACGTAGAAGAAGTTAGATGAACGTTTATGGTTGAGAAATTCAACGTTGAAATATGGTTGAAGTATTTGAAGTTAAATCTAAACGTTTTATAAACGTAATGAAAACTATGTCCTGACGATCAGTTGAAATTATGCATTTAAACGTTAGTTACACCTTCGAATTTTCGGACCGAGAGTGGAAGAAGAACGTGAATGAAACTCATTTCAACAACGTTTTTCAACTGTTATTCGTCATTGTGTTATATAAGCTGTCGTTGAATTATATTCTATATCATCCGTCATTTGAAAACGTGTGGTTTACATGGATACAAAACTACTTTTCATCGATCCGGCAAAGTCCTCACGGTGAACTAACGTTTATACGTATTTGATAACGGTTGGTGAAAAAAAGCGTGTAATATATCGTCATTAGACAACGTGTATTAATTCCGTTTACATCTCGCCGACGCTCACACCAAGAGTTTAGGTACAAATATGAGTAGTCGAACAAATTTGAATAGGGATACGTGAAGATAGGTACGTCACTAAGAAGGAAGTCGAACGGAAAGGAAATACATGCACACACATATCGGGTTTTAATAATAATAATTGCAAAAATTAGGAAATGATGATAAATTCATTGTGGACACGAAAAGTAATCTAGTTAAAACGTTTGAGTAACGTAAGTAAACGTTGAAAAATCTTATTTTCAAACGTCAATTAAACGTTGAATAAACCTTTATTATCGACTATTATAAAACGTCGAAACATTACGTTTATGTCACGTTGATACTCAAGTTGAAAAAACGTACTCAATATATTTTTTTTGTAGTAGGTAATTTGATTGAAACAAACGTTACCGTGCGACATTTTTTCGTTGAATCAAAGTTTGAGAAAAAACCGTTATAAACGTTCGGTTTCAAACCATATAGCAACGTTTTTTCAACGTCACTGTGCCAAATTGGGAGACTAATGAAGGTAGTCTTGGGTGATCAGAATTCTGAATTTTGAACCACCCTGTATTCGCTTCAATTAAATGTCAGTAGATAATGTACCAAAAGTTGAGATAGGGACATGAAAACCGTTTTGGAAAATAATGAATAGTTTCGACACAAAAAATTCCCAAAGTTGAAAAAATCTCAATTGTTCACACCTTATATCTCTGTAATCATTCCAGCTAGACCACTGTGCCTCAACTATCAACTCTTCAGGGAGAATTCAAAAATGCACTGAAATACAGGGTGTTCCATTTGAAAATGTATACATCTTGCTTCGAGATGTTCAATTATTTCTCTGTCAACATATTCAGAATCTACAGGAAAAATTATAAAAGACTGTTCTTTGGAACAAAAATCCGATGATAAATAAAATAGTTAAGGGGGGTTCAAAATATGCGTGAAGACCCTGTACATACCAACTGGCCATCGACCTTACAAGGGGTCCTTCAGCCCGTGTGTGTTCGGTGTAGACTGTGTTACTAACTTCATATGCCACCTTAGGAGCAGCAATGTTAATTGGAACGCAACAGCGAATCGTGCAGAATCATATCTGGCCTCTCCATTTGATTTTTTCAGACTTTCAACGTTGATTGATATATTATCCTGTGGAAAATCTAGTAACTCTTCATCAATTCTGATGCCAGTTTCATCAAACTTTCTTGTAGACGACAGAGTCATCAGGATTTCAATAGGCCTGAAGTGGCGTATTTGATTTACTTTCAAGTCGTTTTTGACAAATTTTCGAGATGTTCATTATATATATTTATTTCGATAACACCCTGTTTAATTAATCTCTTGAAGCATAGAATATTTTCCACAAATATAATGTTTTCTCATCTTGTGCTGTAACTGTTGAGGCTGACTGAAAGAGTGAAACTTTCAATCCGATATAGATTGCAATCAGATGTGGTCATCCTAATTTAAATTGAAATGGTCAAATCAGTTTCGAAAATGAATCATCAATACGTTCAATTAACACTCTGGAATTTGTGAAATTACTCATTAATGAATGAACATATTTCTGGATTGATGATTTACAGACTCCAAGTTTGATGCGTCTCGTTTAGTATGGACATTCATTAATCGCACCTCGTATATGTTTGCCACACCTTATTTTTGTTACGGAATAAACTGATGATATTTTCTAATTCCCTATAATAATAATTACGAGTGGGTGTAGGTAAGTTAATTTCCTGATTCTGAATAAAATAAGTATAAAACAACTACAACTTTCATTCGAATATCTTATCTTCTTATATTATGTTGAAAAAATGAAAACCTGCAATGATTTCGTCACTATATCCTATTGTACTGTTTATTCATACCTACTAGCACTATGAATCATTGTATTGTGTGATATCAACAATTTCTATAATAAGTCAATCAACGTAGTCGCACTTTCATTTCATCATCCAATAGGGAGTTCCACACTGTATATTTTATCCGCAGATTTCAGGCTCAGAATGGTCTTACCAAGTACATAGTTAACAATATATATAATAATAGAATATGATTATGAACCATCAAGTATTTATCACATTACTAGTGTATTTTCTTGTCAACCACCAAAATGAATGAAAAATATATTTCCTTACCTGAAACCTTTGAAATTCAATGCTATCAATTTAATAACAATATCGTGCACATGCCTTCTCTTACTTCAGATTCTATAAGGCAAAACACAGTGTGTAATTTTCTTGATGCAACTGTTGATAATATTTTTACTATCTATTGAAGGTGTATTATCTTATCTAGCTCAAATATTGGGAAAAATGTATCATAGTAGGTTGTTTATCAGATGAAAATGATATTTATAGTAGGTACAGTGAAATCGCAATAAAATTAAACAATTGAATCATTGCGGGTAGCTGTCTAGGTATTGGTTTGAACCTCTATAACAAGAATCATTTTGAAAATACCTAATGATTATTTTATGCTCTAACAAAGCTCTCTTTATACAGGGGGCTTCATAATATATGCGCAGGAATTCAAGATGTGATAGCTCGTCTCAAAATGAGAAAAAAGTTTCCATTAACTTTTCCTCTAAAATGCAATATTTTCCAGAAACAAGGTGTAGAAACTTTCAAGAAAAAAATCGACTCAGAAAACAGATTTTGTTAGCATTCTCCATTCATATTAAGCTATGTTTTATGCAAAATTATTTTCCTTTTTAAGTCATAATTGGTGAAGATTTTGATGGGGTAGTTTTTGTTTTCTACCCCAACTTCTACGACACTGGTGGATTCACACTTTTGACCCACCCATTCCAACTGCCAATGTTTTCTACACAAAAAAGGTACTCTTGGTCATGAGCTCTAAAGCTCACCGTGTTTTCGGAAAAAACAACTTTATGTTGAAGAACATGGTCAATGTTTTGAAGTAAATTTAATTTTAGTATAATCAAACAAAATTTATTAAAAGGTTAGAGAAAGAAATAAAACCAAATGTTAACTTTATAACTGCGAAATAAAAAAACAACAACAAATCATACTCTCTCAAATTCATTGTTGGAAATATTCGTCGATTTTTCTTGAAAACGGTAAACTTTAGAGCTTATGACTAGAGTACCTTTTTTGTAGGAAATGTTGCTGATACGAATATTTTTTTTGGAAGTTCCAAGCTCATGCATCAAGATCAGAGTTGATACCTATACTTTTCAATTTTCATTAGTTAGGGTAAAGTAAGGTATTTTCGTGGTATTGGTAAGTTCGTGATAGAAATATAATAATACGCCAGGATCTTGCCTATTGTCACAGAAACCTAATTTCTCGGCTGATGGGTTGTAGGTCAATCAGCTAGATGGCGGAACCTGCGGCGAATGAATATCACGAACATAACACCCCCTGGAAAACTTTGTATTCAGACGGTATGTTTTGTGCCACCATTTGGAGGTTATATTGTGATCAAAGTTTTATCGTTCGAATATAAACTGAAAACCAAAGGTAAGCTTTTGAAATTCATACTGATCATAGTATTTTGAATTCCGAATCTGCCTGTCAAGTTGAATCAAATAATTTCGCTGTAATTTTGCCACAATTGCTTAAGTTCGTGAGCAGGTTTCTTATGATTTGCCCGCGCGAATATTGAGTTACGATTCATGCGTTGTTCAATATTTTTTTATCTCTTGTCCTATACTGTTTAAAATTCAGCAAATCTTGGAATATATTAATTTAATCAATAAATATGAAATATAACCCTATGGCAGTGACGTGGAACATATCACGAAATTACCTGTTATCACGAAGTTAGCTACTATTTTTTTCAATTGCAGAATCAGAATGCCTAAAAAACAAGGAGAAAAGAGGAAATATCGAACATACGACATCCGGGAATTGATAGAAGCTGGAAGGTTAGTGACAGAAACAAATATGTCAATATACGCAGTAAGCAAACAGACTGGAGTACCATGGAGTACGATCAAAGATTTTATAGCAAAAAATCAGGATAACCAGCAAGAAGTTGCCAAACTTGGAAGACCATATGCTCTTACCCCAGAATATGAAACGGAACTATATAACTACATAATCAAAATGCAAGAACTGGGATTCGGTTTGACAGTCGAAATGATCAGGAAGGCAGCTTTCCAACTGGCACGACAATCTGGGAGGGAACATTTTCTCAAAGAAAATAATATGACAGCAAGCAAATGGTGGTGGGCGCAGTTCAAAAAAAGGTACAATCTTGCGTTACGTGTTCCAGAAAATCTCGCAGCATATCGAGCCTCTATGGGTAATCCAGAGATGATTCAGGACTTCTTCACAAAATTAGAAACACTCATGGACAAGTTGGGGATAAAGAATATGCCAGATAGACTTTGGAATTGCGATGAAACTGGTCTATCTTATGTCGTGAAACCAAATAAAGTCGTTACATCTATTGGAAAGCG